TCTTTCTTCCCATGTGATGTTAAAGGACCTCGGATGGGCGCCAGGGTCTGAGTGTTGCCTCAAGGAACCATTTTCGCTTCAGGATTGGGGGGATTGGGGGGGGAGATCACGCCGCCATCGCTCCTGAAGCCTTTGAGTTGGCCTTTTATTGGGTTTTACCGCAGACAGCAATCGCGATTGAAGTAATCAGAAAAGGAACCCGGTAACTCCAGCAGCAGCTTCACCACCCTCAGCAAAGCAAAGACAACCAACGCCTGGTCCTTTCAGTGAAACAGAAAAGCACTTTTCCATCTGCATGTCTTGGCTCCTTTGCTACACTACTCTTTCTTTATTTTATTTTTTCTCTCTCTCTCTCTCTCCCCCCTCTTCCCGCTGCGCAACTCTCCTCTTTTCTTTGCTCTTCCCTTCTCTTCTGTGTCGAGGCGGTCTCCCTAATCCTGGAGTTCCTGGGCATCCGCCCCAGCGCAGCACAGCGAAAGCTCACGCGCAACGCGCTGCTGCGGGAGCAGCTGCAGCCCAGCGGAGAGTTCTGTGGGAGCTCGCAGGTGGAGCCGGAGGGGAAGGGAGGGCCAACCGGGGGGAAGAACATGGAAGAAGCTGAGGGGGCTTGCCAGGGACAACCTGACAACCGTGTTTCTTGGCACGAGAAGTTTCGTTAATGATGGAACATGGAAGAAGGTACGGGCAAGCCCGCGTCAGGGCCAATAGCAGTGTTTTTGGCACAAGAGAGATCTGATGGGGTATGAAATGATGCGGTGCATTGGCTCAAAGTCCATCAGAACCATTTCTCGGAAAGGTTGGTCGGACTCTCAACCGGCGCATGTTCGCTCCAAAGACGGCGCCAGATGCCAGACTTCAAGATTCGCGGAAGGATAGGTTGATCCACTTTGGTCAACTACACTGTCTGAAACAATCGTGGAAGTGGAACGTAGGCCCCTGGAAGACCAATTGTCCTCTGCAAGGGGGGTCTCAGCTTCCATGATCGTTTGAGGGAGAGCAACTTCAAATTTTGGGAGCCAGACGTTCTGCCGGCAATCACCCCACCGGTAACGTTGCCACCGCAGAAGCTTCTCCACACACTCTCAGTCCACCACACTCTCAGTCCACCACGCCGTTGGCCAGGTCCATGCGACGGGGAATGGCTGCTACAGCATGATCGGTTGGCTTCACCACCTGCTGGGGAAGGGCAGCGGAAGTTCACTGTGGATGTTCGAAGGGGCAGACTGGAATGGCCACAAGCTTCTCCAGGTGGAGATCCAAACTACTCGTGACGGAAGCAGCGGAGGGGAGGATTTCTCACCGGGCAATTCCAGATATATAGTCAAGATCAGTGTAAAGATCTTTTTGGGGTGATGTGGGAATCTAGCCAACATCTCGCAAAACATCAGAGACACGCCACGCCACCCTCATCTTGGCTTCGAACGTCCATCAAGAAGTTGGAACTTCTCACCCACCCTCACCCACCGAGCATTTGAATCGCGTTGCGTGATCTCTCTCCTCTGAGCTTCTCCTTCCCTTCCGCCACCCACCGCTGGTTCCGTGCGTCGTTCCGCGCGTCCAGGGCTTGAACTTGCCACCGGAGCAGCTGGGCCGCGGGATGTCGGAGATCCTGTCCTTGGACACCGTGGAGCTGGACTGCCGCCTGGAGTACCGCGGGCTCCGGAGCCCATCCTGGTCGGAGCTGGAATGAGCAGACCATATGGAGAGCGGAGAGTATTGGAGAGTATTGGAGAAGGGGAAGGCAGATCACGGATTCTAAGGTGGGATGTGGATGTGGAAGATGCATGGGTGAAGTGAACACTTAAAAAAGTCATCTCAGAAGTTGTCAAGCAGTTGTTCCAAGAGTTGCCGCTTTCCTATTTGTGACTGGTTAAGGGGGAGGTGGGTTGTACAGGGGTGTTTGAGGGGCCTGGGCAAGCAGATGGATGGAGATTGGATCCCCGGTAGAAAAGTAGGGGAAGATTTGTCATGTTCCCAGTTGATGCATGCCTTGGCCCATCAACAGTACCAGCGACATGGTAGACTCAAATGCCCAACCCCACTTCCCCAGACATTCGTCGTTTCAATCTGCGAGCCCACCGCTGCGAACGTGGAAAAAGTCGTTGAAAGAAGCGGCTGCTGCATTGGTTTGCGTGATGTGAAGTGCTTCAAGGTTGTTCTTAGGATGTGAATTTGGGTCAACGCCCAAGCTCACACAACCGATATTTATATGACAGTTGATTGACAAAACCACTAACCAGACTGGTCTTACATCACTATCATATGGAGGATTTCTGCTCAAATTTCTACATTAGCCCGCTGATCGTTGAGCGGTGTGTTCTCAGGGCTCTTGCACGGAGAAGTGATCTAGCATTTTCGTTCAAATACTCCAAGGATGGATGCTTTCCACGTTTATAGCTATACTCAGGTGCTATTAAAGCGAAATGCTTCTATAGAAGGTGTTCGTTTTCTGCTGCCACTTGCTGTTCAAAGACACGCATTTCACACCGATGCTGTGCAATGGCTTGTGTTTGCGCGCCTCTTTGACAAAGAAGTTTCTGCCCGTGCAAGTGCGATGGCATATGCATTCGGCGAGCCTGCAAAAGTTTTTCACCAACAAGACCCACAAGAAGTACTGCAAATGTGGAAAGCCCAGCGCCCTTCTTTTAGAGAAGTGTGGCTTTGCCCAAAGTCTTTGACATCCATTTTTGTTCATGGGCTGCGTTTACGTAAACCGAGAGCTCCGGTTTTTTCAACCATTCCCAAAAGCCGCGACAACTGAAAAAAGAAAACAAATAAGCCGCAAACAAACGAAGCCGCGAACGACAGAAGCGCCGCGTAGGCAGCTATTGTGGCGAAGCCTTGGGAGATCACCACATTGCGCCCCTGAAGCGCGATCCGCTGCTCACGGCGGTGCTCGGCACGGGAACGAAGACCAGTGACGACTTCGAGGAGCTCTACCGATCCTTTCAGTTCTTGGTGTTGAAACACCGTACCTTGACATCTGGGAGTTTATTTTGTGTTCTGGAGGGGGGACGGTTTTCCAGGGAGGAGAGAAGGATGAAGGATGAAAAACTGCAGGTTAAGCCGATGCCGTGACATGTTTTGGTGACTCGTTCCAGACAGGGGGCAGAAGAAGGTGAGAAGAGTTTTCGTGTTGTCCGCATTCGTGTTTTCAACATTTACAAGGGCATTGAGCCTCAATCCTACAACAACATCCAGTGGTAGGTGATGTGTGCCAAGTGCTTGATTGCTTTTTGGAAGACATGAATGACATCCTCTGCGAACACGGGGGTGGCCATCCACTTCCATGCTCCTTCCAGGGAACCATTTTTCCCCCACTTCCATCTTTCCAGAGAGTGCAGTGTAGTACCAGGACCCTCTAAGGGGTGCCCAATGGAAGCCTATAGGTAGTGTAGAGTAGTCCATTGGACACCCCTTGGAGGGTCCTGGTATGTAGCCATGCTGTCCCCTTTGAAGCTTCTGCCCTGCCGCTGTCTGGAACCGGAAGCGCGCCTGCTTAGGCTATCCCGTGGGCGAGAAGCATCTGCTGGTCCTGCCCAAGGGCACCTTCTACGACGTGCGACAGCTGCGGAAGCGGGACATGCCCATGCTGGAGAAGATGCATCTTTGGCTCCCATTTTCAGGCCGTTTCTTTTCTCCCAATCAGGTCCAACCTTCATCAAAGAGTGTTGGTGGAAGACATGGGGCTCAATTTTGAATTCCATCCTGGAGAAGATGCTCCTTCTTTTGGATCATTTGGGTCGGACCTTCATCCAGGAGTGTTGGTCCCTTCGCGGCAGCTGTTTGATCGGAGTGCAGGAGACTGCTTGGAGGTTGAGGGTGTCCAACCGCCTCAAAAACTCAAAGACTCGACTCTCTAACATTCTCCAAGCTTTTTGACATAGGATCTTGTTGGGTATAGAAATGCCATTAACTCGGCTCAGGTATCAGAAGGGCTTGGAGTACTTGGATGCTCCCGGACGTCCTGTGGCCTGTGGCTTCTCATATCCTGCGGACTACAACCACCTCCACTTGCACCTGGTGGGGTTTGGGAAGTGAAGATGCAAGCAAGAGCTTAGTTCCTAAGGAAGCTCTATGAAACTCCTTTTTCAGCTGCCAGCCTTTCCATTCCCATGTCTACAGGAGAGCCCATATTTGCTCACCCTCCAACCACCACAGCAATGACACAACGCAACCAAGCAAAACAAACACCAACCAGCCCACAAGGCCGTAAGACCACAAGACCCTAAACTACTGAGACTGAAACCCTAAAACCTCACCGTTTTGGGTTTCCTCACCTTCTTGGGCTTCCCACTCCCACGCAGCGGTCGCCACACCGCGCAGCGGCCAGCGTCGCTGAAGCGCAGGTGCTGCCGCCCTTCCGCTCGGTGGCACTCTTCGAGCGCCACGTCTTCTATCCGCTGCCCGAGGTCCAAGTGCAGCTGCAAAGGGGGCTGGTGAAGCCTCACCCCGTGCTGGACGCCCGGCTGGTACAAGCACCGAAGGCTCAGCAGGTTGGGGGCAGGTGGTTAGCCACGAGGGGGATGGATTTCTGACAGAGTGGATGGTGTTGCCTCCAAGTGGGTGAAGTCAACATCTCTTGGCCTTGGTGCTTCCCTTAACCCCCCTTGCATCATCACCACATGCTTTTGACCGTGGTGCCGAACGGAGGACTTCGACGCGGAGGAGGCGCAGAACGCGTGGATCGCGCGGATGGACGCGGCGGCGCGGCGGGGCTTCACCGAGGAAGTCCCAGCGCTGAGCACGCCGAGGGACCAAAAAGGAGTGGCAACGGACCGGGATGTGTCCCAGAGGATTGGATGGGTGGTTGTGGTTGTGGTGGGGTGTGGCGATGCCTAGAGGGTGGGACATCACTCAGGTCGGGACTCCTCAATCAGTTGGACTCCAACTCCACAAGGGTACGAAGATTCATGAGTTCATCACTGCGCACCACGGTTGATCTATCCCAGGACACACCGGTAGTTGGACCGGACACGGAGGACACGGGTCTCCCCGAGGCGATGAGCGCCTGTGCGAAGAGCACCGCCTGGCGCAAAGCCTTGGAGCTCTTTGAAGCCATGCCACGCCACGCGGACGCGAAGCAGACCACGGATCGCGTCGGTCGCGTCGGCGTCGTTCTACGGTGGGCCGAAGAACCGTAAGGCCGTAAGGGTGCGACGACTTGCGACGACTGAAGTGTGAGGTTTGAGGTCTGGGGTCGGCCGATCGTCATCGGAGGGCATGCTGCAACCGAATCTGGCCATCATCGGTGGGCCGGCAGGCTTCGATGTGAAAGGCTTCACCGATGAAAGGTGGATTCTCTATAGGCTTAACGTTTTTTCTGGCACCAAGGGCTACGGGTGGAGCAGGACGTCGTCAGTCACAATGCGCCTTGGCCGCGTCGATGTGGCGCCGATCGGAGCGTTGACGCGTCGACCTGGGAGGCGCTGCTCGAAGCTTGCGTGCAGAAGGAGACGGCGGCAGGAGCAGGAGCTGAGACGAGACGGGACGATTCGAGCAGGAGCTGCGAACGATTCGGGTGGCCAACGAACATGGGTGTGCCTCGCCGGTGTGCCCCGCACAACTCTGCATCGCTGCGCGTTTTGCTTTGTTTCTTAAAACTTTTGCTATCTTTTTTGGTGGGGGATAGGTCATGGTGGGTCTCTTGGGATCATCCGTCGTTCATGAGTCAAAAAGAACGCCCACGTCATCCTCTCCACTGACCCCCGGACCGCCTCCTTCTCTCAGCGGTGAAGGAGTTGAAGAGATCTTGGCGAGCATGAACGAGGCCAGGCCGGCGCCGTGGTCACGCCGTGGGCGTGGTCACCGCTAGCATCCGGTCGCAGTTCGGTCGGAACCTGCGACCGAACTGTGAGTGGCAAATTGCCAGATGGTGCATGTTCTAATATCTCCAGACGCTTTATTCTCGGGGCTCCGAGCCTCTTGAACCTTTGGCAGATTCCTCCAGATGTGACCAGGCCCATGTAACTCGACAGGGTTTACTAGCGTGTCAAACCACAATGTATGTCTCATAACATGCTTCAGTGTTTCTTCCACTGGATGAGTGCAGGGTTTCGCCCTGACTTGTTGTGCGAACCAAGCCTCATGTGAGACGCCACCAGCGTGGGAGACCCTGGAGGCGTTGATCTTGCCCAATTTGATCAGCTACAGCACTGCACTGATGGCCTTTGAAAAGGAGGGGCGATGGGAGGAGGGGCGCCTTGTCTGAGACAGATGGATATGTTCAAGATGGAAGGGTTTGGCTGGTTGGCCGCGGCCGACCACGAACATGAAAACAGCTCGTCATTTGATAGACATGTGGCCATGACATCGAAAACTAGAAACTTGGACCTTGGAGCATATCGCACAAAATGCAATTTCTTGCTACCAAGGGATCTCAATCGTTTATGGTCGCGGAGAGCCAGGTTGCACTATCCATAAGGGCAATCCAGCATCGCTAACGAAGAAAACACCGAACCAAGGAACGCATCCATGACGGGATGCTACACCCACACCCACCGGCAAAAAACATGAAAAGAAGAACATCAATGATCGGTTCGTGCCGGTTCGTGCCGGGTCACGCATCATCTGGCGACCTTTTTGCAGAGGTGCCGCCCACCCACCAGTCCACAGACCTTCTCCCGCTTGGGCCGACGACCGAGGCTTCAGCTGCTGCGGCGCATGCGGCAGACGCTCCTCCAGCTGGATGTGATTTGCCTCTCGGCGATGAGTCTAGTGGTCCCAACAGCTGGGAAGGGTGAGACGGTGGGAGGAGCGATTGGTAGTGGGCCTTCTTATGGGCCAGGTTGCAATCGATGTGTGGAAGGACTTGCTCAAGTGGGTGTATAAGTCCGTAATGGTGTGTTTCCAAGAGCTTCCGGCCTCTTTGCGTGTACGCCTCAAAGAGAAGCAGTCGCACTGGGAGCAATCAACATGCCATAGACAGTGCTAGAACATGCTAGAACTTGACTGCACAGCCCGCATGGATTGGAGCTCGACGTTCAATAGAGATTCCCTTCTGCCAAGGCTACAACTCTGCCATGAGCGCGTGCAAAGTCGCCAGCCAATGGAATCTCGGCAGCGGGTGCGACTTTACAGATGCCCAGTTGATTGGGCCCATGCCCATTTGCACATGTTGTTATGTGGATGTTTGTGGCTTTCTTGCGCCACACGAGGCAGGCCGCGTGGCAATTGCTGCGCCCCAGCGAAACAACGGTTTCTTGGCACGAAGAAGCAGCCTCGCTGGAAAGACCTCTTTTGTTGCAACATGTTTGGGTCAACGGGGTGGGTTTGCCCGGAAAAGCCGCCTTTCCTATGACCCAACATGGCCTGGTGGGATGCAGATGATCCACTTCGCTGATGGTGATGATGATGCGGATTATGTGCTGATGCGCTACACGCATGATGCAGATGACGCGTTGATGCGTTACAGACATGATGCAGATGATGCGCCGATGCGTCATGATGTGGATAATGCGCCCAACGTGCATGATGCGGACGATGCGCTGATGCGTTACGGGCATGACGTGTAGGATGAGCTGATGATGATGATGATGATGATGATGATGATGATGATGATGATGTCTTGAATGGATCTTCAACTCAAGTCACAGTCTTGGAGTTCATGAACTCCAGTTGAGTGGCCCGAATGGCGGAAAACCCTTTATAACGTATGGTTTTCTAGCCCTCCCTCAGCATGTTGCTTTCTGGGCAAGCCTCCCTTTCACCCAACATGTTGCAACCCTTCTTGGACAAAGCAAGACAAATTCGTAGAAACGAGCGGTCTTAGAAGCTGCACATGTATTTTTGAGTCTTGACCCTCTACAGTGGCCATCTCAAGGAGCATCACGTTCGTCACAAGGACTCTTATAGTGGCGGAGATCTACGAAAGCTTTCTTTCCCATGTTCGGTCGTCCAGGTGGCACGCTGTGACTTAAATGCCCGTGAGTGACAACTCACATGGTGACAGCTCACACCGCCCGACACCCTCCAGCAAAATGATCAAATCAAAAGGTCAACAAATAGAACCTACTAGGTTACCAGATTCCTGTAAAACACAATTCTGCGGTAGGAGGATCTTCCCTCAAAACGAGACCCGCGACCGGACGTGCCCACCCAGGTCGCGGGCTTCAGCGCCCTCTGCGCCGCGTCGCGCTGCCAGTGGCGCGCGGCGTTGCGCGCGGTGGAGCTGGCGCTGGGCGCGGGGAGAGCCACGGTGGGGCAGCGCTAGTTCTCTTCGCTTTGGGATGGTTATATAAGTCTAAGTGGCCTTTGTGGAGGGCGGGGTATTAGTAGTGAGGCTTTCGTACTTGTAGTGGTGGGGTTTGAAATAATTATTGGACTCCAAACTGCTGGAGCTTCCACTTGCGGTGCAGCCTTGCAATGGTCTCTATCACGCCCAACATCAGCTTTCAAGCGCGGCCCAGGTTTCACAACCTACCTGATCCGACCGGCACGGCGACGCTACTTTCACAGGTCGTCATGTATGCCTCCACCCTCGAAGCCGCTTCTTGTGCCGCGGCCTGTGCTGCTTCTGCGGGTGCTTCGGTGGCATCGGTGTGGCTCATGCACAGCTTAGAGGCGCTGGAGACCTGGGGGAGAGTACCTAGACTGCCGGATCCTTGAACAACGTAAGAGCACAACGTCCAGTGGCAGGATGACCACAGGAATGTAGTAGTGCTTCAAGTGGCAGGTCATGGTGCCAATTCCTGGCCTCGGATGATTTCCGTCCTCTGTTGGGTGTTGTGTGACCTCACGCGGCGCCGGGAAGTCCTGGGGTTCCCTGCAGGAAGCAGCGTGGGACTTGCGCTGTCAGGCTCAGAAGGCGAGTGTGGGCTGAAGGGTGACGTTGGCAGGGGGAGGTAGGGGCGGGGCGGCACAAAGCGTTTGGCGATTCAACTGGGTCAGATGAGACGAGCATGATTGACCAACAAATCAACTGTCACACACAACGTTGGTTGAAAAACAAGGGCATCGAAGGGAGGTCTATATTTAGCCATCCGGCTTGCAAGGATTGAGGAAGGGTTCTCGGTTTGGTGCTTTTGTGCTCTTCACGTCCTCGACTGAAGTGTCCAACCTCCTTGGATGACCACTGCCCCCCCCCCTCCCCCATTTCCAGGAGTAGAGCCTCCGCCGGCAGACCGTGCCAGCCCATCGGCCCGTGTGGCCGTTCCTGTGCGGAGAAAAGAGACGGAGCGGGACGGGCGAGGGACTCAGTGGATGGGATTCTGCTTGAAGGACTTCCCCCCAAAAAGTACTTTGAGTGGATCCCATGATAAAGTGCTTGAATCGAAGGATACATCCCATCCCATCAAGTACACTTACTTGACCCCCCAAATCCTGAAGGATTCTATGAAGTACTTGATGTGACTGTGATCCATTCGGTCAGATGACCCGCTCATTTGGGCAGAGCAACCCATGCAAAGGCGGCATTTGCACCTTCTCAACTTGGTGACGGCAAACGGTCCCTTCTATGATCGGCTCTCGTTCCTCACACGTCTGTGGGATTGATCACGGGGAGGCCAGTGGCAGCACGCTGTGCGGTTGCTGATGGACATGGAAGATCGTCAGGCGCAGAGGGAGCGCGCAGGGAGTGGTTAGGGAGCAGCGGGGTGAGCTTGGGCGAAGCGAGGTTCCCTTGGCACGGGAGGATGCCAGCGAAGTCTCCCAAGCAATTAATACAGCTGCCGAGCCGATCAGGTTTGAGAAAAGGCTCAAGTTCAACTTCCTCTCCTCTGCGCTGGGTATTCAGATGCATGTTGCCACCCCTAGAAAAGAGATGGTCTTGAACAGTTGGAGACCATGAACACCTTGCTAACCAAAAAATTCCTCCGACAACCTCCACGAAATCCCGGGACAACCGGCGGTTTTGCATGAGTTCTTCTCTCCGCGTTCCTGTCGACGTCTCCACAGCGCGAACCGCCGCCGCGAGGGCGTCGTTTCGTCGCAGGTGCAACGGGACGGAGTCGCCGTGAAGGCCACGATCACCGCCTGCGAACGAGGCGACCGACCGCACGTGGAACGTGCGTGGAACGGCGTGCGTGTTGGGCGGCATGGTGTGGAAAAGCCAGGGCCAAAAGCACGTGTAGCACAGAAAGGAGAGCTTATTTTCCACACATCACATGCTTGACAAAAGTGTTTGCCATGGTATGGACATGAATCTATTTTTGCCAACTAACGATGACGAGCTTCCATTATCTGCGCCTTTAATAGAGCTTCGTACTTTGCTACCGAATTGCATTTGACGAGGTAGCGAATGGGAAGGAGCACTTCTCTTGCTGTCCTTCATGGAGCTTGTGGCACTTCAACAGGATGTGGTGGCGTTCAATGCCGTGATGAGTGCTTGTGAGAACGTGGGGGAGTTGCATGGCCGAATTAGGCACCCCTCAGGGGCAGTGGATGTGCTAGGAGTCTTTGCTTCAACGTTGTTCGAGGTTTTCGATGCAGTTTGATGCTATTTGTTTGTAGCTGTTCTCCTAAGTTTGCTGCTGCGGTGTATGCCATCATATTATTGCATTCTATGAGAGCCACCCAGGTGGCAAGTGGCTTTGCATTTGCTGTGCCTCGGGTTGGAGAAGGGACACCTCAAGGGTATTGAGGACTGGGTATGGAGGGTATAAAGCAACCAAAGAACAAGGCGGCAACTTCAGTTTTTGAACACGTTTGTGCTTTGCCATCTTCATGTGCAGCCTAATTTATCTCTGGATTTCATGCATGTCAGATCAATAACACCTTCAGATTCAGCTTCGGAAGATCAACACTGTTGCAGGAAGAAATCCTGAAACCATCTGAAACCCATCTCAAGAAGTTCTGTCCCATCATATCCCACTCTACCTCACTATACCCCACTACAGTTCAAGGAGTTCTGAGAGTTCTGAGCGTGATATCCCCCATGTAATCCGTGGATTCTTCCAGATCACCCGTGCACTTGACCGACCGCCGGTTTCGGCCACCACCGGCCGAAACCGTCCTCGGCAGCTCTCCCAGCGAGGCGGTCCATGGACTCCTTGGAGATCCAACCAGATGAGCCGCTCGGGGTGCGTTTTGCGGGCCTCCGGGGGTGGAAGCGCCCAAAGTTCTCCGCCGTTTTTGCCTTCTTTTTCGGGCTTGGAGCGGGTTTTCTTGGAGCTTCTACCAATTAGTAACATCACATGATGCCGCCTCACCGGGAGGAAACAACATAGTATACCAGTTGCAAGATTGCACATTACCAGGAGGTGTTTTTGTAGAAACTGCGCATGCAGGTGTGACGCATTGCATGGAACAGGTTCTAACATATCGAACAGATCCCAGATCTCGGCTGAGGATCTCCTTGAATGCTTGCCTGAGCTCCTGTGAAAAGGCGCACGAATGGCAGGCACCGATCCTGAGGGCGAAGAAGAAGAAGTTCATCCAATGGCGGTGACACATGTCCCGAGTTGGGTGTGCTAAAGGGTGCTGCATCCGAGGTTTCTGTCGGGTTATGTGTTTGTGATCTTTTTGAAGCAATTGATGCTTTTGCCTGAATGCTGATAGACAAGTTCTCCAGGTTCTCCTGCCTAATTACCTACCTTCATCCATACTTTGATCCAATGGTGTGGGATGGATGGTCAATCACTAGCACTGTCATCACACAGTTCAAACGGTATCCTCCTTGCAAAGATGCCCATAGATGGCCCTCAAACGACCTCTTCAGCAGTTCTTACCCAATTTCCCTTGCAACGCAGTCGTGATGTGCATACTGGCCCCCGGCGGAAGATGGTGGAACTGTGGACGTGTTGCAAGGTTTTCTTGCGGTGTCATTTTGCTACTACTAGCGATACCCTTGTTATTGGCTTCTATAGCTACTAGTAGCAATTGCCTTTGTTTCTAGTAGCGATGGCCTCAAATCTTCTCTCCAACCTAGTAGCTTCTTTGCTACCCATTCCCCCTCCCCTCCCCTCCCGCCCTTCCAGGTGGCCCTCCAGCTCCTGGTTTTCGCCGAAAACGCCGACGTCATCGGCTACAACGCGGCGGCTCGGTGGAACCCGGTGGAGGGCGCGGCGTGGGGGGCGCCGGGGGGCCAGCGGGCTGGGACAGGTAGCCCGGGGGTTTTCAAAGGCGGTTTCTCAGAAGGTTCCCTTCAGAGCTGTGGTAGATGAGTGTTTTCTTTTGGGGTGAACCTGGCCAGGAGACATAGTTTTGGTATGCTTTTGATGGTTTTTGTGTATTTTATTAATACAATGTTCACCTGATTCGATGCTTTGTTCGCAGGTAGGCCACTGGTCAAAGAAAGATGATGGGGGCTCGCGCTCACCTGTGTAGATTGCGTACCATCACGTTGCACCTTGAACAAAGTTCAGTTCAACCGGAGGTCATCAGTGCTTGTGCCAACTGTGGCGAATGGCGAATGGCTTTGGCTGTGCTGGCCAAAATCACCGAAGTGCAGGCAGATCCACCCGCTCAAGAAATAGTTTCAGTTGGGAACACCCACGAGCGAACAAGAAGAGATTGCGCCTTTTATTATATGGTATTGCACCATATTGCATACAGTATGCCATACTGCACCCATGTTTTGACAGATTCCGACACCAAGCATGAGAGCTTAGACAGTTGGCTCAAGAATAAGGACTTTTTTGGCGGCATATTCTGGACTAATAACTACTGTATATAATAATAACATTTGTCTCAGAGTGTCAGTTTTGTTTGAGCCCTTGTGCTTGCTTGGGCAACTGGTGCTATGTGGTGGATCTCCACCACAGACTGACGTGTCCAAACAATTCCACGCAATGAGTTGAAGGCTTCGTCGTTCTTGCCATTATGCCCAGGCGTTGCCCAACTGTATCAGCTTCAGCGCGGCTCGGCGGATTTCGGGTGCGTCTGTTTCGTGGGGGGGGCAGCGGGCCTTTGGGTGAGATGGTCAGCCATTGAGGTCATCTGGTCTCATTGAGAGTTGCTGAGGCCCCATTTTTATCCAGTTTTGGTTATGAGACAATGACTGAGAAAAGGCCACATGACAATCAGACTCCAATAACCTAGGCCGCCATCAGTGCCTGTGAAAAAGCTTGGCGTTGGCAGGTGCGTGTCGAGCAACAAAATATGTCAACCATGTTCACATGTTGAAAGTTTTTCTGTCGCTTTGCGTGGTTGTACTCTCATGTTTGTGCACTTTCTCGGCCAGATTTTTTGTGTTGGTTTCAGTCTTGCACACCTTGCAGCAAACATTGGCATCAAGAAGGCCCAATATATTGGTGCATGCGCTGTAGATGATCCTGGATTTTGCATTGACGGTATTGCAATAAAGTACATGTTTTTCAGCTAGCGTTGGATTTTGGTCATGGCTCACAGCCACAGCAACCCCCGCGGGATACTGGGCAGGTCGCCTGCAGCTTGCTGGATGAGATGCCACGCTGGAAGGTTGAGATGAATGACGCTCAGCTGCGAAAAAGGGGAGAAAGACGAGAGACACACATTTTCCACCCGACTGGAACCTTTCAAAGTAGAGTCGCACCTTGTCACACCCAACCATTTTGAGTTGTCAGGTGGCTGCTAGTCATTTCTAAGTAAGCAGTGTAGCGGCAGGCTGGTCGCCCAACACGGTTGACGCGTCAGTGTTTGTTGGTGGGATTTACCCTGTGGTAATGCAATCCATGGACCCCTGAGATGAATTCCCCGGAGCTACTCAGCAACCAGAATCTCAATCTCATCCTGAGTGGTGGTGGTTCAGATGTTTTTAACTCCAAAAACTGTTTGGCAACAGAACCTTGAAGAACCCACCTTCCCGAAAAAGATCTACCAATTCAATGGTGCCAACCGCATTCGCCAGCCGCCAAGCGCCGTCAACGCTGACGCCGGTCGCAGGTGATTGGATGCAACGCAGCGCTGAGCGCCTGCGAGAAGTGCACGGTGTGGCCGGTGGCGCTGGAGCTGCTGCAGCTCGGCGGCTGCGCGGGACTGGTCAGTTGGTGCAGGGCCATGGATGCCAAGGGAAGGCCTTTTTAAGGGGGAGGCTTTCCATTTCTTTTGGGATGCCAAAGGCGCCAGGTGATGTTTGGTATTTTGTTCCTTTCCTTTTGGATGTGGTGCGTCTTTAGTAACACTTTTTGTCACCTTTCTCCGTCTAACCCGACGGTTGAAGGAGGTCTCCATTGAAGGTTGGGCCAAGGTGTGGAGGGTCGTCCCTCCAAGGCATCCCCCGAGGCTTTCATCTTGGAACATCCCCCGTCTGCCACTGCAGAAACCACAGCTCCAGTTGAATTGAACAACCTCTTCCAGTGGGGGTGTTATCAATCAAGAGTCTACATGATGGCTGAACGTGAAGATTCCGTTGCTGCACTGGTAGGTGAGGGGACTGTATCACTTTCCCTATCTAGATGCTTGAAGAAAGCAAGGAATCAACTGTACAACCCACCTTCCACCTTGGTTTCATTCCGACACGTCTCCGTTCCCTTTTCTACAGCGCACGCCGCGAGGAACGCCTTTCCAGCGCTGGCAGTCCGTGCTGATGCGATCAGCTACAATGCGGTGCTGAGTGCCTGCGACAAAGGCAGGGTGGACGTGCCACACTGAGAAACTCAGAGGTTCAAGTGGTTCCAGGCTCTTCCAGGCATGGGATGCAGAACCCAGCGGGCCCCCGGTGGCAAGGGCTACTCAGAAGTGGGATCCCAAGAAGGACCAAATCGGGGACCTTGCAAGGTCTTATGAGCATCCTTCAACAAGACCACCGCAAACAGGTGAGTTAGAGGTGGTGTGGATCCATGATCAAAACACCTGTCCTGGGTGCGCACCAACATGTTGGACCCATGATCCATTTTGTCCCCCAACAGTTTCGGCGGCACAGGCCCTCCCTGCCCTCACCCATCATAGATTCTTGCCTCCAGTTTCTCCTGCAGCGACGATCAGGCAAAGAGTGGCAGCTAGCGTTGTTTCTCCTTTCGCAGCACGTGGCCCCTGATGAGATTAGCTGCAATGCGGCCATCAGCGCCTGTGCCAAAGGCCGGCTCCATAGGACATGCTACTTCAACTATTTGCTTGCTCTATGCCAATCGCCTCCAATCACCCACCTGGCAGCTCTATGACTCTATCGGCTTCAGGGTTTGGAACACTGCATGGAGCGAGACTGGCCCGGTGGGACGGCCGGTCGTGACCAGATCGTTTTGGCCGCTCTGGGTGGACCGAGACCTGGGTCAACGGGCTTGTGTCCTGGTGGTGTGAACAGCCAGGTGGGTGATCAGTTCTTGACTTGCTTTACCGGAAACATCTACCAGAAAACCATTTAAAGTCACTTAGTGGGGCGCAAAGACCATGGCTTCCCGATGTTTCCTTTCTCGATGTTCCCTATTAAACCCGGCCCATCCATTTTGATGCACTGCCAGGTCTCCTCCTCCGTTGCGCGTCGCTACGCGCCCGGGCCAGGTGACGAGTGGCGCCCGGCGACGGCGCTCTTCGGGAGCATCGAGTGCCGTGGCGGTGTGGCGATCGGCAGGCATCCATTTTCGGAAGAACGTGATTCTTTTTGTTCGACGATGTTTCAATTCGGTTCGTCCCTCCCCACGCCTTCAACAAGGCGCGGGAAGGGATGCGCCCTGGTTTAATTCTGTTGCCCCGGAATCGTCAGCACCGAGACCCCTCACGGTGGGGGATGGCGTGACGCAACGACTCCCGCAGTTATAGACGGCCCAACCGATCGCGGAGGCGACTGCTCAGGGCTCGGGTTCCGCGGCTCCGGCGCGAACGCCATGGCTCCCGAGACTCCACAGTGGCGGAAGGAGATGTCCATCCCATTTATTCCAGGAGTCGAGGGCGCCGGGGAGCGCGTGAGATGTAAATGTAGTGGGAGTGAAGGGAGCTGGAGCTGGGAACTGGGGTCTTTCAGCATCCTTTTTCTTTGGAATGGGCCTATTTTCCCGATGGTTCGGCACATATCCGCCAATTAAGTACACTTCTGAAGGGGTTTGGAGGTGATATCCTGGACAGTCGATGTGGGGCTATTTCAGTGGGCTATTTCCGTGAAGTACGTATAGTGCTTGCTAGGACGAGGGCAATCACGTATCGGTTGGATTCACGATTTTTTCATATCGAGGCACGGAACAGCGACGACGAGGACGGGGCATGTACTCCAGGATTCCCGGTACCAGGTCTAGTACTTCAAAAGTCAGAAGTGCCATGGTACCAGGGCTAGTACTCATCCTGGTACCATGGTGAATTGTGGAATTCTTCTCCGACCCTAAGAGATTGATACTTATAGTATACCTGTCGCGCTTCCTGTCGGGTCGGGGTGCTCTGGAGACCGGAGACCTGTAAGTACGTAGTGTGGAGATGTCCAGCCAGGTGACCCCGAACGCCCGCCCGGTGGCGCAGCTGGTACTTTTCCGTTGAACGAGCCGCATGCCTACTCGTTCCGGACCGGCGTCCTCTCATGGCACCCGAAGACCTTGGGTGGGCTCCGTGGGCGGCGCGAACATGCCCCACCACACCGGGTCCCCCGTGTCCCTTCGGTGGTGCTTCCATGCCCTTTGGGAAGATTTCGGGGACACTGTTGCAGCTAGAGCTCTTCACAACATCCACCAGAAGAAATTCCACAACATCCACTGTTGGGTAGTTCTTTTGTTGAAGGTAGGAATTCGCGCCATTTCTTCCTCCATCGCCAACACCGGCCACCCAAGCCGAAGAGTCTGCAGACTCTCCCAGCAGCGGCGCAGGACCCTTGGAATCTTACCCTCCGGAGGCCATCGGAAGATCGGAGGACATTTGCAACTTTACCACTAGCCAAGCCAAAAAAGCCTCCCAAAAACGACTTCTTGTGATGATTATACGACGTTCCTGTTCTCCAGAACCAACACAGCCTCCCCGGCCAAAGCAACGTCGCCCCACTTCATCACCTCGGTGCACCAAACCGACGAAACCCAAGCAGCGCCGCCGCGGTGAAGCTCGCAGCTCCTCACCGTTCCGTCCCGTGCGCGAGGCGATTCGGGTGCAGAACACCTTCATCCACATCGTTAGTCCTCGCCCGCCGGAGCCGCATCTCTCCTGTCCCGCCAGCCGCATTGGTTGCCTCAAGGCCGGGAGCGGGGGCGGGTCCGGTCCGCGGGTGCGGCGGCGGGGTAGAGCGGAAGACTCGAAAAAAGGGTCGAGGTCGAGAGAAGACACCCCAAAAAAGGGGTGCAAAGGGTCTCATATAGGTCCATTTTGAAGGGGAAATATGAGGCCTCAACATCGAATTCGTGACATTTTGATGTGGTGTCTATGTCCATCTATGACCATGTTTTCTTTTATTTTGGAGGACGTGCGTTGCGATGGAACCCACCGCACCCGCGGTCCGAGCGGCCCAGGCTCTCTTCCGTGAGGAGTCTGCGGCCAAGAAGGCGGGGGGCCGAAAGGGAGGAGGATCCGGTTCCATCGCGGAGGGGGATGGAAGAGGAAAAACATGGAAAAACCGTGACTCTATAAGTCCTAGCCTATAGGGAGGGCCTATGTGGGCTAGCTATAGGCTATAGGCGAGAGAAAGGAGGGACTTGCTTGTCTGACTTGTGCAGAAAACACATCTTTTTCAGAGACCTGTAGATCAAGATCAGTGAGTCTTGATAAGGTACATCGCAGTACATACATATATAAATATATATATCTACATCCGGTTGCTACTGGCTATCTAAAATGAGTGTGGCAAACCACGGAAAACCCATTTTATTGGACTCATTTAGTTTATTTAGTTTAAAGGGCTTTCTAAAATGAGTCTTACATAAAATGGTGGCACCGACAGATTTGCAAACTTGTCAAATTAGCCAGTTGTTTTAGATAACATTGTGAGAAAGTTGTTTTGCCATTTTCACTTTTCAGATTAAACGCCTTTGCTGTGTGAAACTCCTTTTGTTTCCGGATCAAATGATGGGGGGTGAAATGGGGGTGAACTTCTAAGTCGCTAGCAGCCCGGGGGGGCGGATCTACTCTTATTTACCAACCTTTTCAACGATCTCCACCAGCCCCACCAGCCTCACCCCCCACCAGCCCAGTTCTGAGTTCCGAAGCTCCGAGTTCCGTGCAGGACGAACTCCTCTCTGATATCTCTGACAGCCCGTGGCTCTCTGCGCCCCTCATGGCCATCCCTCCGCCACCGAAGCCTCGTACGGCGACGGCGGCGGTGCTCGGGAGTGCAGCATTGCCCTCAGTGGGCAGCAAAGGACATCATGTGGAAGGCATGAGCTGCAAGCCCTGTGCCCCAGACCGCAAGAAGTGAGTGGATAAGAAAGCATCAAGGGTGGTTGGGTGGGTTGGGTCTGGAAAAGGATAGAAAAGGTATGAAAAGGTCCTTCTTGGGTGCTTGGGTGGCTGGGTGTGGTGTGCGCCACATCCTTTTTCCTTCCCCCTTCACGGCCGACCGACTGATTGAGGCGCGTTCCACCACGCGAAGGGCTGCAAGAACGGCATGACCTGCCCGTTCTGCCACCTGTGCGACCGCGGGGAGAAGAAACGACGGCAGAAGGCCAAGAACGCTCGGAAAGCGATGAGCCATGGTGGAGCGTGAACCGCGTAGTTCGCTCATGGAGCCAGGACACAGAAGTGCATATAGTCCATAGTCCTTCCATGTCCTTCCTATGACATGTCAAGATGTTTCAGCACGACTTTTGGGGGTAACCGACCCGATAATGAGTCTTTTTTGGGTTCACCTTGAGGGATTTTTGTTGACCCTTCAATTGTTTCGAGGCACATGATGACGACTTCTGTGTCGGTAGGTGGCATAGTTGCAGAGTTACCCAGAGTTGCAGAGCCAGGAAACGGCCTAGCTGGCTCAGATTAGAGAATATGTACTCGACCCATCTTCGAAGGCACTGAGTTTCATGTATAGGGAGATGGGTGGAAAGAATTCAGGAGGCCTCCGCCACATGAGCCCTGTGGCCTCATTAGTCGACTGACACCCTGTGACTGCATGCGAACGCCCTTGGAGACATCCGCCTTCCTTCTGGAAAAGGCCGATTGGGCCATGAGGATTGGATGCAAAGCAGGATGGGCAGAGGATGGGAGGGGAACCTTTCAAGCTACCCAAAAATGGCCAGTTGGCCTTTCTGAGGTTCTTAGTTATAGAAGGTGAAGCAGCACCTTATACATGGGGTCCGTCCCGCCTATTCCTTGTAAATGACTTGTATATATCAAGGTGTGTAATGGAGACGTTTCGTATGGAGTGAAAATCCGACCACTCCAGAGCCGGGTCACGGGTCAAGGCGTCGCACGCTGGACGCCGCGCTCAGGTGCCGTGGCCTTCAGCGTGACCTCATCAGCCACAACGCCGTGGCTCGACACGAAGCGGAGCCGGTGGGCTCGAGCTGAGGGGGACGTGGAACGTCCACCAACAAAACCAAGGAGACGGAAAGCGAGGCTGTGTTGCTTGGTCATGTTTTGTTATGTTTTGCGGGTTCTTTCCTCAACTTAGGTGTGATTATGTGTGATTTTTCTCACGGTCCACAATGATAATGAGTTGCATGAAGATGCGTCTCATGCTGATTCGTGCTGATCATTTTGGCATATTGTTTGCTAGGGTCTAACTGTGGTCCATTGTACTCGTACATTGGGATCCCGCCCGCAGCTGCGACCAGCACGCTCCTACAAGGCCCATCTGAGTTCCGTGTCCAAGGGCCACCCCCAAAGTCTCAGTGCTCCGACTCCCGCTCCGCTCCGCTTTGAGCTCCGTCCTCGCCGGGTTCTTCGTCCTTGCACCCCTCCACCAGTGTCTCCACCGTCTTCTGGAGGCGAGTGCGAGCATTCCCGTGACGCACAGGCCACGATCCAAAAAAGCAACACATATGAGCTCACCAAACCCCTCTCCACCTCATGGACATTGAGGGATTCCTCTGGTGATTTGTCTCGGCAAATCCAAGGCTTTGGCAGCCTGCGCGCGTGGCTTCCAGTGGCGCTGGGCCGCTCTCGTGCTTCAGCACTGCGACGTGGACGGGGCAACCTTTGAAATGATGGAAGGTTGAAACAAAAAGAAAGCTGATGGAAGGTCCAAGTGACAGAACATGCCAAGCCCATGTCTTGGAGCTTCCAGTTCTTCTTTTGGAGCTTTTTCTCCTCCCGTGCTCTCACGTAGTAGGGCTGCGCCGCGGAACTTCACGCGAGGAGCCGGATGCCATCTCCTTGAATGCCGCGTTGGATGCTTGTAAAGGTCGAGGCGAGAGTGGGGGCTCGGGCACTCTTGGAAGGATCACTGGGTGGAAAACGGGCTCAATCTATGCCGTTATTTATGCTTTGCTCTGTGGTGACACAGTCAGCCGGGCCGTCTTTGAAGTCTTTGGATTTGAAGAATTCATCCTTCACAAATCTTCAAGTGAGCTCTTGCGAGGTGCTATTAGTATAGTGGTGCCATTACCAAGTTCAAAAAACCAAATCAGCAATGCCCACACTGAGCCTAGCAGCTATGGCAATGGAAGTGGCCCGTGCCAAACAGATCGTCTCCACTCAACTTCCACTGGCCGCAGTCGTTAGTCGTTCGTCTCTGTTTTGAGTACGATGAAACACGATCTGAGAGCTTTTTAGATGAAGAGGTTGGCCACGGCTGGGCCACGCGACCAGTGGCCAGGGCTTCCCTCCGATTCAATGATGTTGAGTGTCGGAAAAATGTAAATAGATTTCTTGTCCTGTCTTGGTCTTGCTCGTGATGCGAGCTGCTTTGTGTTTTGGCCAGGCAAACTGAATTAAGTAACTGCACCTGGATAATGCTAGTGCAGAAGTCTTGCTGCATTCACATTCAACACATCTCGAACGGTCTGTTTTCGATTCGCCAGCATGGATGTCCGAGCATGGACCGCTAAACCATGTTCCTGGAGTCCGGCGATCATTTCGGAAAGCTCGTGAGTCAGGTCCACAAACCACGTAGCCAACATTGTCATCCGATCATCTCACCCCAACAAGCCTTTCAGCCTCACAGGCGCTTGGCGTGCCTTGTTGGATTTCTTGTCGATGGCAGAATGCCGGAAGCTCTCGAAGACAGTGATCACGCTGAACACCGCACTGTTGACCTTCAACAAGGTGCCGGACCGTTGTTAATGGTGAAAGGGAAGTTGTGGGGTTGTCGTCTAACATGTTTAACATGTCTAACAGGTAGAGATTTTGGGACAATTGACAATAAAAAGGTCTATAAAACAACTCTAATCTGCTTCTGACAACAGGGGATCTCTGGGGCAATCCCCATACAACCGAACCGAGGTGTCTTTGCCATTATTCCTGCCGCTCTGCCGCTTTGCAAGCCTGCATTTGTTTGGTAGCCTCCAGCCTACTAGCTTCTTGCTACTAGTAGCTATTTGCTCCTAGTAGTAATGCCAGGAGCTACGAGTAGCGTCCTAGCTCCTAGTAGCGATGCCTTTTGTTACTAGTGTTGCGTTCATGTCCTTACTTCATTGGTCACTTGTGCCGATGTCGAGCTTTGAACTGTTTACCATAGGCTATCTGGCAGGCCGGGCGTTGGCAGCTGGCGCTTTCGACCTCGCCGGGCAACGCCATCAGTCGCAGCCTGGGCTGCGCGGCCTGCAGCTTCGCTGGACGTGTGCGGCAGCTGCGCGAGGTGCTGGGCGAGTTGGAGCAGGACGGAGCGACCGGACGGACGTCTTCTTTGGAAGGGAGCTGTGGGGCCCGTTGATGAATGCAGAATGCTTGTTTAGAGAGAGAGAGAGACAGAGAGAGAGAGAGAGAGAGAGACAGAGAGAGAATGGGAGAGAGAGAGAGAGCATGTTTTCAATATTTTTATTATTGGGTTTGTTTGTTTCGAAAAAGGTGACACAGATGGGTGTTCTGGTTCAAAGCAAGTTGAAACAACTGCTCTGGAGGTATGCACGGCACAAGCACAAATGTTCAGGAATAAAGACTATATATGTTTCCAAGTGCACCCATGCGCTTCCACGGTGAATCAGAGAACAGTCTTGTGGGCAGCTTTGGCTTCGGGCGTGGGGGGTCCATATGCCATTAACGGCAGCTTTGTTCACACAGGTCCTCCCACAAACGCCCCCGATGAAGTGAAATCTGAATAAACCAATAACTAAAACCTGAAGTTCCCAGTCTTTTTGAACTAACCAATTGTTAATTGAATAAATCTGACGTCCTAAAATCAGTCAACACATGTCAACACCCCTAGACTCTGAGGTGCGTTTCCACACGCCAGGAAGAAGTTTTCACACATGTGAACACTCAAGATCCCAAACGACCCCCTCGGTGGAGAGAGCCGCATGGAGAACCATGGACAGGATGGCCTTGAAGCGAACCTGATGCTAGCGCCAAAGGCGCGCCAGCTGCGCATGAAGGAGAAAGAGAAAAAGGAAGATGCTGATGGTAGCCCATGATGGAAACCATCAGTTGTGTTGGTGGTGGTTGACCAAAAACGAATAGCTAATTACACCAACAACCAATCTCAGTTGAGGAAACCCGCCTGAATTTCCATTTGCAGCTCGTCTTAGCATGCGCCGAGTGGTGAAATGCAGCTCGTTAGCAGCAATCAGCGCCACTGGTAGCAGCAATCAAGCTGGAAAGCAGCTGATGTATCCTGCGTGGGACCTTTTCCATAGCTATCCAGTGACATGCGCTCCTTCCCCAAAAAGCTCTTCAGTTTCTTTTCCCCCAGTTTTCCCCCTTCAGCACCTTCAAGGGCTTCCTCCCCCACCTTGGACCCCCCAAAAAAACCCCGCTCAGCCCAAGCCTGAGAGCTGTGACTCCGGTGATCTGGCCTGGTCTCCTACCCTCCTGCCCACTGTCCCTCGCCGTCCCCTCCCAGCCGCAGCCAGCGACGGGACCGGCGGACGGAGAAAACGCCACCGACGGGGAGGGGCCATGGCCGACGTCACCACGCTCTTGCAGGCGGAAAGCGTGCGCGGGGGGGTGGGTGCTGTGGGGTGCTTGCTGCCGGTTGGGGCGGGTTTTTTATCGAAAAGGATGTATCGATGAAGGAGGATGAGTTGAAGTTGAAGCCTTTCGTCAAGGTTGCTTCCACCTCTAAATCTGGGGCCTGTGGGGGGGCAGGTTACCAAACCATACCCAGCTGGCATTTCTAGCTCGCTCGCGCTCTCTCTCTCTCTCTCTGGGTACTTCGGGATGGCCCAACTGCTCAAGCCTTGCTGTTTGTACAGCCTCGAATCGTGAGCACTTGGATTGTTCAAGATCATGGACCTTTGTGGAGAGCCAAAAAACGAAAAAAACATCCTGAAGCTCGATCAACCCAACCTGAGGCAAAATCCACGTCTTCAACCAATAAAGATGCGCTTCCCAAGTGGTGGAGAAAAACAACAACTCCAATTCTGCATTACACCCGGAAAGATAACCATGGAACCTGAAAATGGGACCTTTGGAAGACCATATTGTCCTACAACCCAGTGGTCTTCTAGGTTCCATGTGGGTCTCTTCCCAGAGCAGCTCTGCTTGATACACCGGCCTTTCTTCGGTTTCACCGGACACTTCCCCGCTCAGCTTCGGTCTCCTTGCGGACGGGGTCGCGTGACCTGATCGGCCAGGAGCTGCGGCGGAGCCAGGATCGCTTGAGGAAGGAGGCGGGACCATTTTGGTCAGCGGAAGATGAAGAAACCATTCCATCTTATATTTTCATATTTATGGAAAAGCTTGCGCCCAAGGTTTGGGTTTAGGAGATGTTGGACTGAAGTTGGGCAAGTGGGTCCATCTTTATTTAAAAGGAGCTAGATTGGACATCATTCTGGCACGTTTATGGTTACAATTTGGATCTTAATTGACTTCTCAGATCTTTTCAGATTCTAGGAGCAGGAGGATGTCTTCAGTTGTGCCTTTCGTCGTCCAAACCGCCCAACTGACGCGATGCGCCGTTTCGTTTGCGTTCCGCTCAGGTGCTGAACGGTCAGGCCATGATCCTGTCGGAGCTCAGGAGCTGAACGGTTGCGGGGTAGCCGAGCTGAACCATATAGTGAATTGAGAGTAGATGGCACTGACCCCAAGAGGTGGTTTATATGGACCCCCATCTAAAGGACATCTTGGGGTCTGTGCCATCTACTCTGATCCCACTGTAGCTGTACCGCGATGTGTTCGCAGAGAGTACATACCATACGTTGAGCCAATACCCTTTGCCTAGGACAGAGATCGAGCCGATTGTACTCCTTGAGGGGGGTGCTTTTTCTGAAACATACGTGGTAGCAAGTTGTCGTTGTCATTTATGGTGGTGGTGTTTGTTAGTTGTTGTTGCTGCTGCTGCTGCTGCCACGACCCAGAATGGGAACCAATCTGCAGTGACTTGATCGTCTTGAAATGGCAGGAGCCTCCACGACTTCTGGAAAGATCAACTTGGCATCGGGCAAAGTCGCTGGCATGCAAACTTGTGATGCAGAATCACAAGATGGGTGAATGGGGAATAGATTCGAAGATATTAAGCCTTATGCCGTCCAAGCTAGCAACATCCTGAGGGATTGGCACTGAAAGAATTCCTAAACTCCCCGGCAATGAGTGTCGTTGACTAGAGTCTATGCAATTCCGTCTCTCAATGGTTACGATGAGGGTTGTGTGGAATCATGTTCTTCCTGTACTTTATGTTGCTCTACTCCCCTGTGGAAGACCACATGGAACTCCAAACCCACTGGATTGGAAGTTGGATTGGATTGTTTTGTTGAAGGACTTCTCATCTTTAATTTATCAAAAGCATGTCCTAGGTCCTAGGTGTGTCGTTCGGTGGTGCTGATACAGAGAGCTGCGAGTGCAAAATCGAGTGGCTGGGTGCGACTAGCACGGAATGAGGGAATCACCCGCTTGTTACAGATAAGGGACAGACAGTTAGCATATGCTAAACGTTTTTAAATGCAGTTAGAATATGAAACATGTTTGATGCTATATTCTAACTGTCTGTCCCTTATTGTACAGATAAGTACAGATACCTTCGGATGAGCCCCGACGGAGGAGGCCAAGCGTCGCCCGCCCAACGCGAAGCAAGGCCTCCCGAGCCGACCGCTGGACGCGGACCGCGACGTCCTGGACGTGGTGGCGAGGGGTGCAGACCGCGAGGTGGACAGCGGTCCGGGACCTCGGGCGGACAGCTCGATGGCAGGTGTGCTCGTAGGGCATTGGAGGCAATCAGATCACTCTTTGGACATCACGCCTGCCGATGTGCCATGATTTCCTAACATTCTGGCATGCCTAGGAATTCGGAGATTCTTCGTTGGTCTTTTGGCAGAGCAATGGAAGGTAGAGTCGCATCACAGTAGAAACATGTATAGAAATGTACGAGGGAGTCACTTGCACTTGTGATCTCCTTTTGAAGACTTCGGCATGCTTCCTGAACCTTCAGCAAGTCCCTTTGCAGGTCTGCAGGGAGAAACGTTGACATGATGACACATCTACTGTAAAATATCGCCACAGCAAGCAAGGTTTATGCAATTTTATACATTTACTTTTTGCATATGAGTAGTAGACCAGCGGCCGATTGGCAAGCTGCACGCCACCCCAGGCATCTCCTCCATATAAAGACAGCCAGTCACTCTTAACGTTTCTCAAGTCGAGCTGGAGCTGATAGAGGCGGTGAGCCCTCGGTCGGCGGCTCCCCTCCCTTTCAACCCGAGCCAACCGGGGCCATGCGACCGTCCCTCGAGGCCGCTTCGGGCCGGATGGCCTCTCCAAGGATGTGGAGGAGTTCACGGAGTCGGTGGTTTGGGGCACCCGAGCTGGGTTAGGCGTATCGGGGGAGGCAAGTCGATGGGTGCGATCTGGTGGTAGGGAGGAGGGTAGAATGTATGTATGTATGTATGTATATATATATATGTATAACGGTAACGTTTCCATCATGCCGCCCTCCATCATGCACCATCATGTTTCCCCCAAATGTATCGCTTTGAGTTGCTTGCACCTACCACATGCGTCCGCAGCATCTCGGTATACCTGGTTCATCTCACGCGTCGCCCAGGTTGGGTCGTTGGAGGGTCGTCCGGTCGCCGAGATCAAGAACATTGAGGGCTTGACGTCCGTCTTCGCCGACGACCTGGAGAGGCGTGCGAAATGGCCGCTGCAGACGGGGAGCTCAGAAAAGACAGAAGAGGGCAGTTGAACGAGTGCAAAAGCATCAGATAGTCTTTGAAGGAAGTGTGACAGGTTTTCAACGTTTGGGGTTCGGTTCAAGTTGCCTAATGTGTATGCTGCCTTTTTGCTTTTTGTTCTGCTCTGGTTGTCATTCAGCTCCACATGTGCCTACTCCTGTAGCAGTGGACCCAGGCCCCGTCGCGCCGCGCGGCCGCCCGGCGACGGCCGCACGGTGCGCTTCGCGCCGGGCGACGGGCACGAGGGCGTCCGGTGGACGAGCACGGCGGGAGGCGCCGCGATGGAGGCGCCAAAGGGTGGTGCGGTGAGGAGGCGATGGTTGGGAGGTTTCCCATGGAATGCTTTTCAAAGGAGACGAGAGAGGTTGAATGGTAAGCTCATAAAGTCATTGAGTGCTTTTGGACTCCATTTTTGCTGGACCAGTGGCGAACTTGTTGGACTCATAGATGTGCAGGACTTTGGTGGACCATGGGCCATGTGTTGGGTGTTTTGGGGTGGCGGGCAGTGCTTCAGCATTGGGCAAGTCTAAGCAAAACCATTGAGGATCATTGAGGGACATTCATTTCAGGCGAGAGGTTTTGGGTCCTGGAGCATCTACAGTAAGATAATGGATGAGGGGTTGGTGTGGAAGTCTAGCCAGTAAGGTTGGGGATGTGAACGTGTACCAATTGCTCTTTAAAAGCGGGTGCTTTCATGTCCCCACGAGTTTCTGACAATGACGCTGGGGGAGAGATCAGTATCCCGGCCTTTGGCCAGGCAGCCTTGGAGAGAAGAGACTTCCGCAAGATCGCCACTACCTCTTCAAGCAGCAAAGAACTGCCCGGTAGTGACCTTGCGAGCCGGCAACGGCTAAGAAGGCCCGTTCCGATCCATGATTTCATTGTTCCATGAAACGTTTGACTGTCTGACCGGAACAGTCGAGCTCATCATTTTCGTCATTTTCATGTTTTGGTCGTTTGAGGGTGTTAGATCGAGGTTGTGGATGCTTGTTGAAGGGAATCTTGCATACCACCCGGCCCTGCCCGCAAGCCCGCGCCGCTGCCAGGCCTTCGCAGGAGGTAGCGAGCGACGAAGCTGAGCTATTCTGATGGATCCGTGTTTCAACGGATGCTGTGGCAAGGTTTTTGTGTATGATTTAAGGCTAAGGTAGAGTTTTCCACGTTCGTTAGTATTCGTTGTATGTCCGGCCGCTCCACCTGAACGTTTCGCTAACACGTGCCCCGGAAAGAAGTCGCAGAGGAGCAGGAAGAAGAAGTAAGAATTGAGGTCATGCCCCTCATTATACAGTCAATGCTGCATTAGTATAATTATCATAGATCGCTTCTTAAAATCCACAACATAAATACCGACCTCCGGCAACATCAGAACTTTACAAAAGCAGTGAGTGCAGCATAGTCTTTGAAGAAGCTGGTTCACATATTGGAAGCGGCCGGCAGTGGCGCTCTGTTGCGTACGATGCGTCGGCAGATTGGTGGATGTGTGCAGAGATCACGGGTGAACAAGCGCTTGTTGGATGATCTTGGATGATATCTTTGTTCGCGGAACCTGCATCATCTCAAGGACCAGCGATCCCTTTGTGCATGGTCACAGTGAGCACCGAACCATTCCGACGGTGATCGGTGTACGACTTTGAAGGATGAGGGAGGAGCTGCTGGCCCAGTCAAGGCCCCCAAGTGACCGAGCAAAGCAGCAACATTGTAGCATAGGCATAGGTATTTGAAAGGACACCGTTCCTTGCCACTTGAATTTATGCCCCAACGTTCCATGGCATAGGTGGGGGTTTTCCGTCCGTTTTCCGGATGGCCTTTATCACCTGAATTTCTTTTCATCCGTGCCATGGGGGCCTCTTCTTCCACCAAGCCGGCCTGCCCCTCAGGGGCGCTCAGCGGGTATGGGAGAGTGTCAGCTCTGTTTTCAAGTCGTGCTGTTGTTGGACGCCGCTTTTTCTCCACATTGACGTGTGGGGTTTTTGTTTTTAGTGTTGTATCCGCTCCTCCTTCCTTCCTCCTCCTCCCGCCTCCCGCCTGCCACCCGCAAACTGCCACCAACCAATTGCCACCAACCAATTGCCACCAACAAGCCGCCACCAACTAATAGTAACTAATTGCCACCAACAAACTTCCACCAACCACCAACCACCAACCACCAACCAACCACCACCAACCACCAACCAACAACCACCAACCACCAACCACCAATTGTCCACTCCTGGGTCTGGTGAAGTTGTTAACATGTCGGGTTATCCGGTCCTATAATTATTGCTGGACATTTTTGTGCGCAACCGTACTGTGTTTCGAAACGCTAATGTCCCAGTTTGCGCTTGCGCAAGCAGAGCATGCAGTTGCAGAACGGTTGGGTGACTGATGCTTCTGGAAATCTTGGTGGTGAACGTTTTGAATGTGGAGATATTGGCATATTGAGTTGAGTTGCATAATCTATGAATGCAACATAATGCACCGTAGACTGCTGTGACGACTGCATTTTAGGTGAAGGAGGTTGCTCGACATTCAGCCCCGAATCGGCGATTGCCCAGCTTTGAAGCTGACTGTTGAGAAGTGTGGGCAGGCCATTCTTTTGGCCGATGAACGCGGACGCCTTGAAGATGTCCGCTACTTCGTGGCGCAAGATCCTTCCGTTGTATGGATTTTCTGACGGCCTGGAATCTTAACTCGAGATGAGCGAGTTTCTTGAAGGAGGCTCAAAACGGAGGGGCTAAGGCTAAGGTCTTCTGAGCCGCGTATGGGCCGAAGAAACGCAGGGTATGAGGAATAAATCCAAGAGAAATCTAGAATCCAGGGAACCCCATTACACCAAATTCTCCACGACCTCCTTCCACCCCAAAAACTGCACCGTCCCAGCTGGGCCACCATGGCCCTCCTTAGCCGGTGGCAGCGGCCGTTTGCGGAAAGCCCCGTGGAGCCGAGGTGAGACCGCGCTGCACAAAGCAGCCTGGTGTGGCCAAGACAGCGTGGCGAAGCTGTTGATCGACTCCAGCGCGGCAGTGGACGGCCGCGGGAGGGCGGCAACCGCGGTCGGTGTGTGTGGGCCGTGTGAACGGCCGAAGGAGCGGACAAGCATTAGCATGACCCTTTTGAAATGTTTGTTGGTCTGGAGTTTTTGGTGACGCTATGCACATGGATGTGGGGTTTGTTGCAGCAAATATGGCGAACAACACCGATCGACCCAGTATAGTAATTACTCTCTCTTCTCGGTGCGTCCGCCACTTGTTGGGATTCACCTCGGTCATGTGTTTTTTCTCCTCCCTTCGTGGTGCATCCCCGTTGCCATCTGTGAATACAAAGGAACGCCAGACCATCCATGAGACTGCAGCTTTCATGATGCCCCATAAAAAGGAACTGCATCGTGACCCAGACCATCCTTACAACTCTTCCAGTCCCATAATTAGCATTTATCATTTACCCTGCAACTCTTCCAGTCCCAGACTACACCGTCGCCCAGACAGACGCGACGGTGGTTTTTGGGTTCTCACGGTTCTGGGCGGAGAACGAACGTGGGTTAGTCTGTTTCAACTTCATCCCCAATGATTACCCGGATGGCGGATTAGGTACAAGACCAGGTTTTACAGGGTCGGATTGGACGTACGTAGGGTATGAATTTGCAACATCAACAAAACAGGGGGGGACGGGGTTGTGGGCTGAGCCAGTGGCTGAGCCAGTGGACCCCTTTGGTTCAGAATAGACTCTGACGAACACATCATATGATATGGAAGTGGTATGGAAGTAGTATCCAGTCGCAGGTGAACACACCAATCATTGGTGGAACAAGTGGCACAGACCGCCGACAACGGACGACAGACCAGCCCGCCGATCACAGCGGATCTGCAGGATTTCTTCCATCCACCAGAAAAAGCAACATGAATGGTGGGTCTGGATTTGTACTGGCCTCAGTGGGATGGGACAGGATTGGAGGGAGCCGACTTTGAAAAAGGAGATGAGAGAAGGGCGAATCGGAAAGCGCCTGCGTATCAAAGAGCTTACTGTGAAGATGCTAAATATACAATTTTGAAGACATAGAAGTTATTTCAAGGATTTTGAAAGGTGATGCACTTTCCCATCTATTTCGCCGTCCTCCTACAGCAGTTGTCTGGTTTGCCTCGGCGATGTGGTTGCTTTGTGTCTCTGATTCTAAATCATCATTGCCTGGACCTGATGGCTTTTTTGAGACATGAACAAGATCCAATCCCAGCGGCTTTGCTGGAAGTGATGAGCCTTTTGACCATCGCTTGGGAGAGCAGTTGCCAGAAAACGCCTTTTGCTTCTGCCTTGGGGCCTTTTGGCCGGCTCCAGGCCTTACGCACGGGTCCGGCTCCAGCAGGATCCGCGGGGGGCAATTTAGTCCCTTGTCTCTTGATGTCTACCAGCTTTATACAAAAGGACAGGATGACCAGTGGACAGGTAGATTTCTCTCAGGACTCGTCTGGGGTTTCTCTGATGTCTACAAGCTTTAAGTTCCCATCCCAATGGCTTGGTCCATGTCTTCGTCCGCGTTGGCTGCACCGATAACCGTCGTCATGGACATCATTGGCAGACTTGTTGTCGCGACGATATGTGACCTGACACTTGTAGTCTCCCTTTGGCTCAGTCTTATGTAGTTGGGAAGTGTGCAAAACATAGCGTGGCCATCCATGGCCCTGCGAGCTTGCGACTACACCATCCTAGTCTTGGACCTTGCGGAGGGCTTGGTCACCACTCTGAACCTCAACGAAGAGGAGCATGGGGCCATGTACTTGGCCATTTTCTTCACATCTTACACATTTCTTGATGACTTCTTCCAAGGCTGTATGAGGTGTACGGAGTGCAAGTGGGATGACTGCATCTGGAAGATTGGCGTGGAAGTTGGGCAGTGCATCTTCTTCATGCAGTTCTCTCTTCCAGGCGTCACGCGAGCACTGATCATAATGATGGTTTTCCAGGTCGCCCTCAAAGTTGCCGGAACTTGCTGGGATTCGCTCATCGAAAAGAACAGCGCGGAGAGCACCGGAGGTAAAGCTGAGCCGGGGAAAGCCTTCTTTATGGGTTTCCTGAGCCTTGTGTTTGGAATGGCGCTTGGAGTGCTTCCCCTTTTGTTTGCAGAAGGGTCCTCTTTTCATGAAAAATGGTATGAGTGCATGGTTTGCGCCTTCTTGTGGAGTTTGCGCATGCTGGAACAGCTCGTCAATGACGGTGAGACTGCTTTGGTGAGATGCGCGTTCTGTGTTGTGGCTTTGTACATCTTCGGCTTCATTTGTTTGAACCTTGGAGTTGCCTTATCTTGGTGCTCACAAGAAGGTGATCTTCCACTCTTTGACCGTGTCTACGGCGTGATGCTCAGCCTGGCTACGCTCATTTGCATTCTTACCTGCATATTTGCGTGCGCAAGAGATCATTGTGCACCAGCCAAGGCAGGCGAGGCTGCAGCTGATGGTCAAGTAGTGGGAACTCCAGCCGTCTAATCCGCCCATCGGTGAAAAGAGGTGAACTGAGGAGTTGGATTCTCACCGTTTCACCCGTTAAGAACTGGAGGGCGGCCAGCGCTTTAAGAGCGAGCCATGGCCTCCAAGCCTCGAGCGAAAAGAGCGAAAAGATCACCTGTGCCTTTTAACGCGTGGACCCATTTGCAACAGCAAGGTTTGAAGGTGCTTTTTGGTCAAGGACAGCACTGGGAGAGTCGCCTCGCGCGTGACCGGTGGAGAGCGGAGGAGAGCGAGCTGCGGAAGCGAAGCTGGCGAATCCAGTGGCAAAAGGCAGGTTTTTTAGGGTGGTGTTTTGTTTCCGCTGATGTTGTTAAGTAGACGTTTTTCATGGTCTGGTAGTTGTTTGCGTGTTCTAGTAATTTCAGCTACCTCGAGCGTCGAGTATGGAATCATATGGAATCACTTCAAGCAAGAACGCCCTTTGGATGCCTGCAGTTTCCGAACTCCGCTCTGCCTCATCGTTTGTTTGTGAACTGGCACCAGGAGAGCGAGAACTCGGGCACGTCCGACGCACGTCGGTCAATGTTCGCCACACGGTGGACTGGTCGGGTGAAGCAGGTTGAACGACCCAGCCGACGGTGCCCATGAACGAGCCAACCAAAGCCTGTTGGCGACGGGGGCACTGTGAGGATGCACGAAGGGAAGGCGGACGACATGGGGCGAATGGAATCTTGGAGTCGAGGGGAATGCGAAGGAAGGAGGGGTCGACATGGGTCGACTGGGGACTGGGGAGGGGGCATGGACTCAAGCACATGGCATAGTCAGAGCCTGTAGTATATATTGTGAAGAGAGCTAACTTGATCCATGACTGTTCTGTTCCAAGCATGTCAGTTGTTGCACGGTGGTACACCTGAGGTCCACCGAACTTCCAGTTGGGTCAAAGGTTCGACCCGCGGCCATGACTAGGCCTTGAGCCTTCAAGTGAGCGGAAAAGAGCCGCTTACTAGGTTCGCTGCGTCTTGACACTGGTAGGCGGAGCCTAAGTTGCTCCCTTGGGGCGTGCCATTTGGTCGGTGCTTTGCTGGTCATTTGGCCCCTCTTGGGTGCGGTTGTGGGCAGTGCATTGCCGTACAGAGCTTTACATTATCGTTGGCTGACCAGGGTGATATTGGGACACTTTCATACCGGAATTCGCTTCTCGAGTATTGGTGGACCGTATCCTGTGGTGGTTGCCGGTTGGAATTCATTGCGCAATTTTGATTGGCCCCCGCAAGTTTCACATTGCAAGGATTTTATTTTAGTTTTGAGTTTTGAGGATGTCGAGCTCTTCAGGACAGTCCCACTATGTTGACCCAAGTCCAATGTGGTGCACTATGATGGAAGCGCGGAGCTGGCGGAAGAGTATGAGGAGAGAGTTTGGCTGGGATTCCAAATGGTTCAGAAGGATGACAAGGTCAGCTATGCAGCCAAGTTGAAGAACGCCCTATTTGGGAGAGCTTGGACCCTCTGTCATCGACAGCCGGAGATCGCAGCACAGAAGCTCCTCCAGCTCAGCGAGGCTGAAGCTAGTGCGAATGCTGGTCCCAAGGCCGCTGTTCAGTTGGTGGTGAAGACAGTTCGAGCTGCATGTGAGAAGGTCGCACCATTGCTGAAGACTCAGACCTTTGAAGGTTAATTTTTCGACAAAGGACGGCGACGATTGGGAGAGAGCATACAGGACTACATCAGTCGAAGAGAGAGTGAGTACGAGAAGCTGACAGGACTTACACAGGGTCACGCAAAGCTCTCCACCGACCTCCAGGCCTTTTTCCTTTTCAGGAATGCAGGTGTGAATCCACGCCAGCACAGAGCCATTTTGGGTCAGGCTGGAAATGAATATGATTGGGACAAGATCGTGGAGGCCATGCTCATTCAGCTTGATAGTGGAGATGAGTTGACGGGGAAAGGATGGAAAGGAGGCTACAAGTCTCGTTCACAGAGCAGCTTCGGATCGGGAGGAAAACGAGGCTCCTGGGCTTTTCCTATTGAGGAAGAATGGTCGAGCTTTGATGATGAGACAGAAGAAGCCTATGCCATTGATGAATGGTATGCTGAGGAGCCAACAGATGAAGACATCCCGGTCTATGAAGTTGAAGAAGACATTCAGTTTGACATTGAAGAGATGGAGCACGCCATTGAGGTGATGACCATTGAAGACCTGACCAATGAAGACTTGGACGTCTTTGCAGCTACAGTTCAGAAGATGGGCAGGGGCGCATCCGAGTATGCCAGGAAAAGACCGGCAGTGAGGGATGGCAAAACCAACCGTGGTTTTCAGCCCAGTGCCATCGGTCACAACAAGACAGCCATTGCATTGGATGGAAAGTTGACACTCAATGCAGGACAGCTTCAAGACAAGATCCAACAGGTCAAGGCTCGCACTCAATGTTACGATTGTGGTCAGAAAGGTCATTGGCGTGGAGATTGAAGTTGCCCTAAGAACACCGGAGCACCCAATTCCAAAGGTGGCAAGAAAGGACATGGAAGGAAGGGTGGAAGAAAAGGTACAGAGGGCAGGCATGGCAGCAGCAATGTTGGCATCAGCATCAGGTCAGTTGCTCCAGTCGTGTCACGAAGCATTGTCATGTGTTGGTGTGAATGAGTTCGATGATTGTTCTGATCAGACATTTCACATCGAGGAGAACCATGAGATGTTTCCGAACCTGGAGGACTATGATGAGATGTTGAGTGAAGTGGAAGCGTGCGTGACTCGGGAGGAAGAGACGGAGAAAATTCCACACAGTTTGACACTCATGGACAATGCAAGCAGTGGAGCAGTTCCCGCAGGAAGATGTGTGGTGGACACAGCAGCCTTGATCGGCTGTGGAGGTGATCGCACTCTGGACAGATTCATTGAGAAGTTCGGGAGTGACACCAAGCTGCAGAAATCGAACAAGGTGCTGAAGGGTGTGAATGCAGATGCCCCGGTCATGGTTCAACACCAACAATATTGGTTCAGAGAAGGTGGACATGGACTATGGAGCTGGTGGACATTTGTTGTTGGACGTTGGGCATGGAGGCAGAAACAAGAAGTCTACAAGGCTGGCAGGAGAAACGGTGGAGGTATTTCATCAGCTGAAAGCCAAAGACTTCAACGTGGAAGCCATCCGCATCATGAAAGGAAAGCTTACGTAGGAAGAAAGTTCAGAGGATGGCAGAGGAAGCAAAAGAGCATGGCAGAGCCTTGTGGAAGGAGCTTCGAAAAGGGAACAGATCCCATGCGAGAAAGGTGATTGTGAAGGAGCTCTACAGTGGTGATGATGGGGGTGTCGTGACAGCATTAGCGAAAGACAATGAGATGCCCGTGGGACGCCCTCGTGATCTTCTCTTGGGTGACAACTTCTTGAAGAAAGAGGATCGGGCTTGGATCTTAGCAGAGATCAAGATTGAAAAGCCGAGACTTTGATTGTGACCCATGGACTCCTTTGAGCAACTTCCTGGATGAAGAAACCAGAAGGGGTGCAGCAAGAGATCGCTCTAGATCACCTGGACTTTGTCAAGGAGGCTTGCGAGCTTCAGATTTCAGAGGGAAGACACTATTTGTTGGAGAATCCATTGACAAGCCCAAGATCGAACATGTGCCGCGCTACACATCCCGCATGGACCAATGTATGTGTGATCTGAAAGACATCAATGGAGATTTTGTGTTGAAGCCTACGCGTTTTGTCACTTCATCTCCGGTGTTGGCAGCAATCCTGAGCTTGAGATGCACAGGAGATCATGAACATGCACGGGTTCAAGGACGAGGTGTGAAGAATGGCCAGAACATCTCTTCCATGCTGGGAAAAATGGACGCCGCAACTCGGTGTCATGATCCTAGAAGGCATTCAACGACAAGTCCGTCTTGAGGAGCAGTGTGGAGAAGTCAAGTATTACCTTGAAGAAGCAGATGTCTACCACAATGCGCTTCAGAGAAGCTCAGACATCATGTTCCGACAGCGTGAAGAAGAAGACCTACAAACTTGGGAAGAAGTTCCCGTGCTGCTCAGAAGTGCAACCACTAAGGTGCATCGGCAGTACTCCCACTCCCTCTACAAAGAGAACTTCAGCAGACATCTGAAGTTGTCAGCTGCCCCAGACAGAGCAATCAAGGCAGCATCCTTGTTTACTTGCCCAACTTGTGAGAAAGAAAGGAGAAGTCCAGCACGACCTATGGCCGCTGTTCCAAATCATGATCATTTCAATCAGTGCATGGCCATGGACATAGCTCACATTCCCGACCAGGATGATGTGATGCATTTTTGCTCATGGTGGACATGGCAACCTCATACACTCTTGCTTCCTATTTGTGCTCAGGTGAGGCTCCTGGTCGACCCAAGAAGCCACACTCGTCACAGTGCCACAAGTCGCTGGTTGATTGGATGCAAGTCTTCGGAAGCCCAGACAAAGTACAAGTAGACCAAGATGGCTCATTAAGAGGTGACTTTCGTGAATTGTTGGATCGCTTTGGCATTGAAGAGATCCTGGTTGCACGAGATGCTCACTGGAGCCATGGTGTTGTGGAACGAAAGATTCTCACTGTGAAGGAGATGATGATGAAGGTGGCTCATGACAGTGAGATCAAAGGTGCCATACTGACTAGGGTAGCTGTGGTGACTTGCATGCAAGCCATCAACGCTGTCCAATCATCGTGGTTTCTCGCCAGCTCAATGTGTTTTGGGATTTCAGCCCAATCTGCCTGACGTCATGGGTGACGGCAGAGGGATTCCAAAGATAGACCATGATGAGCACTTTGCCATCGCACAGTGGATGAAACTTCTTCAACATTGTGAACACGCTTTTGTGAAAGCCAATCATTCCGCCGCATCCCTTCGACGTGCTCTACTTTCCCAAGCCCGACAAAACAGCCACACAATTTGAGAAGGGCCATCGCTAAAGAACACGAATTGATGTTGGAGGATGAAGGCAGTCTCCTACCAAAGAATGGACAACAAGGTTTCCTATACCTCTCAAAGCCGCAGGATCCCATCGACCTTGAGGAGGAGCCGGAAAATCCGGAGTATGAACCTACAGAACCTCCAGATGACAACGATGTCTCCCAAGGCAGCAGATGAGATGGCAACAAGCCTTCTCCTTTTGCACTGAAATTCGCCATGTCCTAGTAGAGAATGGTGTCAAGATTGTAGGAGAGGCTGCGTGGCGGTGCTGTCGACAACTGCAAATCGT